CCTTCTGCTCTGTGGCCCCAGAGAAAAGGAGAGGTGAATGCCAGGAATGGAAAGAGGAAGACGTAGGAAGTTCTTAGCAGACCAAGAAGTAATGCTTCCTCAAAATAAAAAATAAATTATAGCAAGAAGACAAAGGGAGATAAGAAGACAGACATGCAGGTCCTAATTTGTTCCTGTTCTGAGACAAAACCATTAATGTATATGCAGAAGAGAGTTTGCAAAAGGACAGAAACCCCAACTGGGGCAGTGAGAAACCTAAATAAGAGGTGCTTTTGCTCCATTTCCCATTTAGAACTCTGATAATGTTGAATAATCTCAGCATGTCAGAAATGATAAGACTTGACATAAATTCCTGCAGACCCACAGTAGTTAATACTTCTTAACCATGAGAAGGTCCAACCTAGATTCCGCGATTGAGATGCAAGGTCCATTAGCATTGACTCTGCATCTTCCAAGAGGACAGTCCATGAGTCCCATTAGCCATAGACCTAGCAGTAGAAGATGACAGGAAGCCTGATGAATAAGCCAAGCCACGAGCAGCATGGAAGAGGTCATCCATGTCAGAGGATGAATGAACATGTAAGCTTCACCCTCATACCCATGAAAGACAGTGTTTGCCAAAAAGAAACAGATTTAACCTGAAAGCAACCACTTTAAGCTGGAAGACTTTGAGATACATTTAACTGGAATGTTATTTTTTATGCCATTATCCTCTCCCCCAACTAAACATCTACTCTTCCCCATTCCTTGTCACCCCCTACCCATCAGTAAGATATGAGTATTGATTGGGAAGGCACTGGGGAATTGAAGAAAAATTTGGAATTGTTACAAAAAAAGAGAGACTATATTTTACTCATAACTTTTATCCTCTTTACATTATCAACAAAAATGAAATTAGATACCTCTAGAGGATGGAGCTTCCCACAAAGAGTCCATTCAAAGTCAACATAAGCCTGGCTCATGATAGGGTTTAGAAAGAAATATTGTTCCATGTTAAAGAGGACTCCTGTTTTATATACTCTAAAACAGCCAAATTTCATTCTTTAAAATAAAGTAATAAATACTCATTGAAACATATTATAATGTGCTAACAAGTCTCATAATACAGTATTTAAAATGCATTTATCACAGTATGAGTCTCTAAAGCTTAGAATCTTTTACAGTAGTGTGTCTCAACATTTAAAAAGTCAAAAATGTGAACTGGCCGATGACTTCAAGCAGAACTTCAAAGTGGGCAGTCCTTCATAAAGACAGACAAGAGTCTTGTCCTCTGAATTCAATTTAATTTTTATCACATCACATAGTATTGATCTGAGATGCTGGTATGTGTTAACCTAAGATAAAGTTGACCAAATGGGCCCATTGTGTAAGGCATATCTGTCCCTATATTACTTCTAGAGAGTCTAAAAAACTACCCATTATGTGTTGATTTTCATCTCTTTTAATATTAGAGGCTGATCCTTTTCCCAATCAGGAATAAAATTTTCAATCTCAGATAAATAACAAAAGTTTAAAATCTAGGAAACATATCTGGATCAAATCAACTTCGAATGTTCAAAACAAACTTGACCAACTTTAGCTTAATGGACAAAATTAGACAGAGCACCTGCACCCTGCAAATATGATGTATAAGATCTAACCAGTTAGGGTGTTCACTCGTAGAGAATTAACTAAGGAGATGAGAACAGGTATCATAATGCTCTGTGTTCATAGCAACAATTGGGATGATTTCCTGGCTCATAGTAATTTCTTGAAGGCCATGTCCATAGAGCACCCCTACCAATTCTAATAACACACTATCCCTTCCATCTCTCCCTACAGCCACAAAAAAAAAAAACAAAAAACACCTGGCCAATAAAAGCTGAGCATAGCACTTACCATCACCTTATGGACAAGGCCAAGGGCTGGAAATGTGATCCCAGCAAATCTTTATCTGAAAATTTTCACACTGGAGCTAAGTAAAGAAACCTCATTCTCATAGGTGGCAAGTTATAAAAATGTGCACCTAGAGGGAATGAAGCTTCTTGCAAGGAGGAACTGGTCTGAGAACACAGACAATAGGCAGACAAAGGCACAAATGAGAGATAAACACGTTCTTAGCAATATTTGAAGTCCTGGTTCCAGTACCCCTCATATTGGCTACCGTTCCTCATAATAGGAGCCAACAAATTCTTCACGGCTTCATATACTTCCAACTGAGTTGATATTACTGGACATCATTTGAGTCCTCACTCATAAAGCTAGTGAGAAAGCGGTAAACCCCAACTAGGCTGGCAAATAACTTTAGCATTGTCACGGTCATAGAAGAATGACATATTTGCTAATTGTGCAATTTTGAGCTAATTTCTTTAAAATCTCTGAGCATTACCTGCAGAAATGGGGCTTATAGCTACTCCATGGGGTTATTGAAAAATTAGGAATAAAGTACATAAAATGCTTAACATGACGCCTCTCCCATAGCACTTGCTCAAAAAGTGCTAAAATTTTATTGTTTCAATAATGAGGATATGAGAATAATGATGATGATGATCCTAAGAAGACAAAGATGACAGAACTAAGACTCTATGTAATTTTTTCCATTAAAAGAATACCTGCTTAAATATATTCTAGTAAAGAAAGTTACAAGGACTAGAAAGGAAAATTAATGAAGTCAGAAATAATTTTATGTAAAACATATCCATTACCTTAAGAAGCAATGATTTTTGAAAGCTTAATTTACAATAAATAAGCATGACAGTTTAAAAGAAGTTAATGGAGTTTATCTTATTTTCAAGAATAGGCTTAAAATGAAAGCTAAAGTAAATATGACTGATACAGCTAATCCCTGAGAATAGATGTAGCAATACTTTCAGGCCCAACTCATAGATTAAGCCTTCCATCACCAAACCCAAATACAATTACCATGTGGCCACACCTATGGTACATAGTTGTTCATTAATTGCATTTACTTATTTACCCTTCTACATTATAAATCCTTTTTATCAAGGTCTCTTTTTCACAGTTGCGACTTGGTCACAAGTAGCTGCTCAAAATATAGTATTTAAATTAAACTGCATCCTAGAAGTATACCGGGAGTCAGAAGAAATGGATTCTAATCTTACCTCTGACACCAGGTGTCCTTGAATAAGTCACTAGCCATAGGGTCATATAGTCACTGTGTTGGCCCTCAAAGTTAGGTCCCTTAGCCTCTTACCACAGTGCAAAAATCACATCTAAAATACATTTTCTACCTCTAAACACTGAGATAGACCCTCTACAAAATGTAAAACTTCATAACCACTTTTGGAATAATTATCTGCTCTCACATTGAACAACTCAATGAAGCAATGCTTTAAAAGGCTCAGTGTCATTGAGTCAGCAATGCAGACCCATAATTCCAACTCAAAGATGGCATTCTTTCTATATATCACACCACTTACTTGAGTTTTAGAAGTCTTAAAATACTTTTAGAAAGCATATCACTCGTAATAATGTGCCTACTCAAATGGCACACCTCACTGACTGATTTGGATACTCAAATGAGATGATATGGAACTTCCTTATAAAGTAGAAAATGCTCCAAAATATCAACTAGTATTATTTTAATAATGACAATGTCGATAATGATGATGATAGGGAAAAGAAAATTATGTACTTGGGATGCTTTCTCACTCTAATATTTACATGCTGTTAAATGAGGCACTTACCGGGAATTGTAGCCACTTAAATGGGAACAGGGAGAAAGCTCTGGGTTTTTATTCTTATTTTCTCTTCAGCTTTTGAGTACAGTTAAAATGTATGCATTTTCAGAGGTGGTTAACTGTTATATTTACTTAAAAATTATGACTATATATGTGTACAGATACATACCTTGGAAAAGGATGGCAGTTGACTTGAAGAAATTTCTGGTCTTTCAGGGAAAAATCTGTGAAATGCTGGTTTGTATGAAAATTGCGTGTGGAACTGGATATGCTGGGCCCCGGCTTTCTGGCTGAGTTGAAGTCTCCTCTCCTTTTCTCCTAATTGCTCTTTCAGTTGAAATTGGAATCCAACTAAAGCTTGTAACATATTTTTCTTCTTTTTTTCTCACTATTAATGGATTTGAAAAAAAGGAACTCTGCAAAAAACATGCAAAAAATCATTTTCTTTTGTCACCTGAGATTGTATACTGTAAAATAAATCTAATAAATGACAGGGGAAGCATCTGAAATAGAAAAACAAACTCATTCTTTAATGGTCATGGTTCACCCATAAAGATACAATTCTTAATGCTCAAGTTGAAAAAAAAAAAGATGAGAAGGAACAGTTGGCATTCAGCTAACAATTGTGTTTGGAGATTTGTGCCTGACTTTGTTATTCTGAGCAAAGCCAGGTACCAGCCTCTTGGGATTATGTACAAAGGCAAGAAAAAAAGTGGACATGTACAAACCTCAAAGGTGACTGCTGGGTTAATAAAACAGTCTGTTTCCTGTTCACCCACTCTTGCTCTCAGTGTGCAAGTATATTAAAATATGTCAAAAGGAAAACCATTCCTGTGCAAAAAATAATTCAATGACAAGTCACAATTTCCAGCTGATGGAGTGCCTTGGTGCATTTGACTGCAGTAACAAGTAATCCATACATCTCTCTGGATGAAAGTTGTATCCTCATTAAAGGAGAAACAAACACAAAATAGGAACAACAGTCACATAGGAAAACAGAGCACAAAAGATACTGCATTTGCCCCTCTCAGTTTCTGGTTTGAGCGATCACAGACTAAAGAACAGTGCTATCCTAGAAGTAACCTCTTAAAAAGCCATGAAAGTAAAATGAGGAAGCTGACAGAGGAACTGAATGTGTAGCTAACAGTCATCTAGGTTTCTGTTCAGTCTATCGGGGAAAACATCTTTTTCTATCCAGTCTGTATAATATCTCCCACTACATCAGACATTGTAATATGAAGTGGCTGGATTAAACAACACACCCCAGCAATTTTAAATTAATGCTCTAATTTATATCTTTAAATAACCTCTCTTAGATAAACTCTGGTTTAAGCATTTATAAGACATACCAACCTTTGCTTTTCTGATTTTTCTCTAAAGAACTGTATCATTAACAGATCTGCAAAAAACAAAAAAAAAATGTTAGTGTTGTTCAACTCTAATAATACTGCTCTTAGGTGGTTACTGTGTTGCATGTAATTGTAAGGCAAAAAAATACATTGGATATAAAGTGTGAGAGCTCTGGTCCTGGGCACAGTTGGACATATGACAGGAGCATGTGCCTTCAACAAGTACTTAATAATCTGGAATAAGAAGGGAACAACATTTTTGAGAGAATACAACTAATTTTAAAAGTGTGGTACTAGCACTTATTTCAAAGCTGAGTAAGGTACTTCTGTATCCAGGCAACACCTTTGCTCAACTATTTGCATGACAATTACCATACACTATTGCAATTGCCTGCTTACCTGGTCATCCCCTCCATACCAGAATGCAAGCTCCTCAAAGGCAAGATTTCCTATGTGCTGTTTCTTATGCTGTAAGAATCCCCATTTCATAAAGCCCCTGGCACATAATAGGAATTCAATAATTATCATTTCGTTGGTTGATTAGCTGATTAAATATAGTTGTGCACCTGACAATTTATGCCACACTTTGAACTGCCAACCCTTTACTGGAAGACAGCAGCAGATCTGTAAATGAAAGGTGTATTTAGGAAAAGCCCGATTATTTCTGTGATAAACTATAGCCCAAGATCAATGGATATACACATAGAAAGGCAGAAAGACTCAATTGTGAACTACACTTTAAACCAGAACATATAGAACAATCACTAAAATGAAACTGAAGCCCAATATAGGAGTATAGGTAATAAAGGATCATTAGACCAATCTAAAGAAGTTCAATTGTCCAGGCCCAGGGCAATATATGAGCTCGGAAACAAGAAATATATTTGAGGAACCTAAGTTAATGATAAGGATAACTTACTAAAGATGAGAAATAGATTTAGACACTAAGAACTACTGAGCTTGATTTTTTAGCCCCCATGAAAGTCTACAGCAGATTATAAAACAGTGTGTCCATGAAGTTATGAAAAATAAAGTGGAATTCAGTAGGAGACAGGCAGCTGAGGGTCCAAATAGTGTTGTATGAACACAAAATTGCTGGGTTCATATTCTGCATGTATGCCTCACTTTAGTGATTTGTCCTTTTCTCCATTAGTTTTGGGTAGAATTATGTCCCCCACAAAAATATGTTGAAGTCCTAACCCTGGTAAGTGTAAAATATGCCCTAATACGGAAATAGGGTCTTTGCAGATCTAATTAAGTTGCAAATTAAGATGAGGGTATACTGGACTAGGGGAGTCCTTAATCCATATGGCTGGAATTCTTAGAGGAATGAGGAGACATAGAAAAGACAGACACGGAGGGGAGCGCATCACGTGACGATGGAGCTAGAGACTAGGGCTGTGCTGCGAGAGCAGGGAAATCTCCTTCTGAGTCCCCAAGAAGGAGCCACTCCTGCCAACATTTTTGATTGCAGGCCTACAGAACTATGAGAGAATAACATTTTGTTGTTTTAAGCTACCCAGTTTGTGGTAATTTGTTATGACAGCCCTAGGAAACCCACACACCATTCTATAAAATGAGTAATGTATCTTCCTGAGGTAATTGTCAGGAGGATTATAATATAATATCAGTAATTCTTAATTTCAGGAAAGGATTTCACAAAGTTTCTTATAATATGTTCACTGAAAAGAGAAATCTATATGAGCTCAGTTATGAGCTAGGTTCAAAGTTGTTAAGACTATCAGTCCCAAAGAGAGCTGATTCATATTTCAACATTAACCCAACATTTCCCCAAGTTTTCACTTATTGATATATTAAAAATAGCTCTTAGACCTTGGATGTCTATATTTTAGAGCCCTTTGAGACAGACGGACAGAGGTTTGGAAGACTGACCTTGAGTAACATCTGTAATGGTGGACACAGAACCATTCAGTCATCCACTGCTATTTAACACAACTAAACAGGACTTAGAGAAATACCTAGAATGGATGCTGCTCAAATATGGAAAAAAAACTAAGTTGGGAGAAATAACATTGACTGAAGGACAAAATCAACATTTAAAAATAAAATAATTGTTATTGTAACAATATGATTTAGTAATAATTACTACTAATAACAATTTAATATTTTAAGCCCCTAACCGAACTTGATACATAGTACAAACTCAGTAAATTACTATTATTTTTAATAGTAGGATGGCCTAGACTAATCTGCCAAGCCCACTTAGGTGGAAAATACACAGTATTTCATTTGGGTTCAAAATTCACATAGGTGTAAGGTGGGAAATATCCAGGTTCATCATCAATTCATATAGAATAGATTTGAAGATATCAGTTGACCAAAGTCCCAGTATGTCTGAACAGTGTTTTTTGTAGCTTCTAAAATGAAACAAAACAAAGCAAACAACAAGGGTGAGAGCTTGGAATGAATTAATAAGTATATGTAAGCCTATGATAATTCACGGCATGGGAAGGTAAGAGGTCTGTTTTTTTAGAAACAAATGTGTCTAATTTGGCAACAGCCTCCTTGGTGAAGAGAGGAGGGCCCAAGTCCAAAGGAGAGGGAGGGGTTCTGCCCGTTCCCATCGAGACTCCAGGAGGATAGCAAGATGTAGCTCCCAAGCCATGCAAATCTTGCCACAGGACATAGATCTGGGTGAAAGAGATTTCTTCTGGCTCCTATAAACATTTGAAGCTTCACAAAAGCAGCATCCAAGAAATGCAGCAACAGAAAGAAATATCAGATACTCCCTCAGTTAAGACTGAAGTGCAAAGAATGGCCACAGACCTTTAAGGGAGTAAGAGAAAGACACCAGCTAGGAAGACACATTGGAGCATCTCTTCTTCCCGGAGATCCAAAGGGGGCCCCAAAAGTAATGGGGAAGGGAGGACCTTGTTGACAAAGGATGAAGATAAAGTCACCAAGAAAGAAAGATTTCCCCCACGGTGATTGTCATGAGCTCCAGTGATACCCAAGGCAAGGGGCACAGCAGGGCAGGCCTAATGTCAGTGTGGCTCTTTTTTAATTAAAATTCTCTCTCAAGACTGTTAGAAACATCACATGCAACTGGGTACAAAACATATTCTGGATACAAAACATATTTCCCCAGGTGTTGCCTAGGACACAGTGCTTATGATACTCATCACAGAATTAACTGGGGCTCTTTATACTTGAGTTCTTCCCAGTGCAAGCTTTCAGACCATTTGGCATACTCACTGTATTAGTTTTCTTTGGATGCTGCTTTAAAAATTACCAAAAAAGTTCGTGATTTCAACAACACATTTTTTGTCTCTTATAATTCTAGCAAAAATGTCTGAAATCAGTTTCCCAGGGCTAAAGTCAGGGTGTCAGCAGGACTGGCTTCTTGTGGAGGTCTTAAGGAAGAACCCATTTCCTTGCTTTTTTTCTTCAGATTGTAGAAGTTATATTCCTGGGCTTGTGGCTCCTTCCTCCATCTTCAAAGTGTCCCCTTCAGTCTCTGCTTCCATGGCCACAGGTCCTTCTCCTCAACTCTGACTTCTACATCCCTCAGAGATGGACTATTTGGATTACATTGGACCCATCTGGGTGATCTCTTCTTGGGACCCTTAACTTAATCACACCTGCAAAGTCCTTTTTCGCTGTACAAGGTAATATCCACAGGTTCCAGGAATTAGGACATATTTGGGGGACCTTCACTCAGAATACCAAACCCACTTTAAAAGAAACATTATAGGGAAAGAGTGTGGTATTGTATGAAAAGATAAACTGGCTTTGCTTGCTTCACCAACACTTACAATGTTTTTTATTGGCCAGATGCTTTTCTAAGTGTTTTACAAATATTAATTCATTTAACCTTCAGATCAACACTAGGAGATAATGATCATTATAATCCTCATTTTATTGATGAGAATGCTGAGGGACAGAAAGGATAAGGTATTTATTTGTACATGGTTATTTAGAGCCTGTATGAATCCAAATCATGCCTCTTTGGTGGATAGTCTTGACACAATGTTTTTACTGGGAAAAACCTACTTTATATGACTGATGTGAGGATTAAAT